CAGAAAACAAAAGAAATCGCTGGTGAAAAGAGGCTTTTTGGTAATTCTAAAGATCTTAAAAAACTCGACGTAGTGTTTTCACCTGGTAAGCCGAAGTTGGGGGAAGAAATTGGCTACGCCTTTTTCCACCGTCCTACCTCATAGCTTTAGGATGTCGGTTAAGGGACCGATCATTATTTATCGCCTGGGGGAGGGGCGGAGGATTTTAGGGGGGATCAATTGATTTTTAGGAGAACGATCAGTAGTAACTGGCGGAGGATTTTAGGGGGGATCGCTGAAAACTTTGGAAGGATTCAGAGAAGGGACCACTCAAATTTGCTTGAAAAATGAAGACATAGGCGGGGGGATCGCGAAAGTCATCAAAAGTTTATTAGGGGATCACTGCAGTGAAGTAACATTCAAAGGGAGATCGGCTAAATTTCACCTTGTTTAGCCCCAAATCCTCCGCCTCACCCCCATTATTTTTTCTGGAAAAACAGCAAGGGAAAAAGGGTTAAATTTCGGCACAGGAAATTGTTGGTATTAACATGGTCGCCGTTCCATTGTTTTGTACACTGAAGGTGATGTCACAGGGGACGATTCGCAACGACGTGTTTTAGCGCAACACAGCGCTGCAATGTTGGAACAATGCAGTTGTAACCATTCGAAACCATGTTGCAACAATGTTGCAACGCTGTGTTGCGCTAAAAATCGTCGTTGCGAATCGTCCCGTGTAACATCACCTTAATATGGTCGCCATCATGGCTTCAGAGTAAGCGGTTCAGTTGAGATAATCGCCACTTTTGTCTCCCTCTACAGCATTCGTACAGCTGAATTTTGCCTTCCATTAGCACATTTAGACGAAGCTTTGGGTGAAGTCATTGAAATAGCCAACCAATATGCCAAGAAGTTCAAGCAGTATTCTTTGTTACCAATTTATGTTCGATTTGTAAAGACAGACGACCTGTACCTTAGTCCGGCGAACAGCAAATGTGCAGTGGATGGAAATAACAATGACCATGCCTGCTATATAGAGGTACAAATGTTAAATAAACCTAAAATGATAATGGTACCGACAACGAAAAAGGTAACGATGATGATAACGGTAGCAGTAACGTTGACAATAACGCTAACGGTAACAGTAAGGGCAATGGTATTGATAACGATAACGACAACGGTAACGGTAACGGTAACAGTAAGGGCAATGGTATTGATAACAATGGTACCGGTAACGATAATGATAACGGTAGCAGTAACGTTGACAGTAACGGTAACGGTAACCGGTAAGGGCAATGGTATTAATAACGATAACGACAACGGTATAGTTACCGATACCGCTGTCGTTATCGTTATCAATAATGGTAACGGTAACGGTAAAAGTAAGGGCAATGGCTTGATAACGATAACGACAACGTTAACGGTAACGTTGACATTAACGGTAACGGTAACAGTAAGAGCAATGGTATTGATAACGATAATGATAACGATTCACGTGACTCAGTTCGTAAGGCCAGGGAGTCGCATTTGAAAGATAAGACCATGACTCTTGAACCTCATGGCCTAAACCGCCGTGACGAATTATTGTAATCCATATCTTTAGTATTTTTCCTTTCCAGTTTTTATGTTGTACGTCATTTCCGCCTCTCCCTTTTATTGCGACATTCTCCATCTGTATAATATTGTGATTGCTACATTAGTTCAGTAACATCTGTAAATCTGAAGAAGGCTGGTATGGCCAGCCGAAATATTGTTATAAAAAACATACACGTTGTTTTAAATCAGCTTTGCAGTAGTCTTTGGACTTTTCGTTCTTGGTTGTTAACGATAACGGTACCGGTAACGATAATGATAACAGTAACGGTAACAGTAAGGGCAATGGTATTGACAAAGATAACGACAACGGTAACAGTAACGATAACGACAACGGTAACAGTAACGATAACGACAACGGTAACGGTAACGGTAACGGTAACGTTGACGGTAACAGTAACGAAAACAGTAAGGGCAATGGTATTGATAACGATAACGACAACGGTAACGGTAACGATAATGATAACGGTAACGGTAACGTTGACGGTAACAGTAGGGGCAATGGTATTGACAACGATAACGACAACGGTAACGGTAACGATGACGATAAAGATAATAATAATGATAAGGATAACTAAAAGCAAGAGGTTATGAACTTTGTATAAGAACATAGCTTTTAGGGATTTGAAAGTTCAGCTCTTTTTCTCTAACAAATAAATAAACACAATAGTGGGGGATGGTCGTGCAGGGTCCCTTATAAGCTTTATGAAGAGACAGTGAGAACGAATTAAGGGTGACAGTTATAGCCTTGCACGAGAAAGCTTTTTCCTGTAAGGATTCACTGAGGATTATGTTTTTTTTGTAGTTTTTTCATTCCCGGAAAGGCTCTTAATAGTAACGTCCCGTCGTCCAATTTAATTCCAGCCACGGCAATGGAAATATTTATTGTTAATTAATTCTTTTCTTAAATTTTCAGATCCCCTTTCTACCAGGAGCATTCGGTATCGAAGAATATCACAAGAACATCGAGGACAAACTGTTCACAAAGTATAAGGCTCGACCACACTGGGGCAAAAATCATCACCTTACGACAGGCAGAATTTATGAGTTGTATCCAGATCTTGAAGATTGGAAAAAGGTTTTTAGACTTTTCAACGCGACGGGTATTTTCTGTAATGAATTCACACACAATGTAGGGTTTGACACATGCATTGCGGACCTGTTGAAGCTTAGGGCGGGAAAGGACGTTGGGATTGTTAATGATGGGCTTGCGGAAGACGACGTCATTACGCTGCAGCCCACCTCTTAGAACGTTTTAAACATACATACTCATTGTTAAAATTAATCGCAGTGGAACCATCATTCAGGGGACACCCTCGGGAGCAACGCAGGTGTCCCCTAAATAGAGGTCTCCCCTGAATGGAGGTTGCGCTGGGGATTGTTAACAATTAACCAACGAATATATAATATTTTTCTTATATATTCTACCTCTGACTGCAGGTATTACTTCAAGCAGCTAGATAATGTATAAAAAATCATGATTAACTTATCTCTGCGATGTTGTTAGGTTAATTCCCACAAGTGCAGTGCAGCGATTTGAGAGAGACAGTTCATGTTTTGAAAGCTGTTGCCATTGTGACTTAAGTAAACACTAAAACTTAACAATGATATTTGTGGTCAGTCACTTTTTGAGGGCTAAAGTGTACCCTGAATGGAGATTAAGGTTTCGGGACCCAGGAAAAGTGTCCCTTTCCCCTCAATAGAAGTGTCTCTTCCACAGAGGTAACAAATACAAAGATTATGTGAACATTTTTCCGGGGCCAAATTTTGCGTCCCTATAAATAGAGGTGTCCCTTGAACAGAGATGTCCCAAAGGAGAGATTCCCTGTACCATTATGTTGGATGAAGAGGCTACTTTTTAAAGGACACCATGTGTAAAGGACGTCAACGAGGGTTCGCGTTTGTTGGGCATGGAACAAGACGAAGAGTTTACTAATAGTCCCAAGCACAAATTGCGGAAGATTTTCCGACCTCAGTTCCTGGTTATTAACTGATTTCAAAGGACGGACAAGAAATTACCAATTACAGTAAGTGAGAGCAGAATACAGAAAGTAAATACCAGGCTTACATTTTTTTAAAATCATTGTTTATCATTTGGCTAGCATTATACGTAAATTACATACCATTATAGGGTTTTGTTACCATCATTTTTGCTCATTGCAAGTCGGGTGCTTTACAGTGCTCCCCATCAAAATTACACAATACTCACCAGAAAGGAAGCTCCACTGTCAATCGCTCACTTTTTGGTTCGCTCGCGAGCCTACTCAGTGCACCACTAAATAGATAGATGAATTACAATGGTCTTCCCGCAGTCACGTTTGAGAAACTGCCGACTTGAATCTTACGCTTGGGGGTGAAAGTGAAAGCAACTCTAAATCTCTCTAATGCTAGTTGGTTAATCATCGATTGCTTCTATTTTATCATTAATTTTTGGGGGTGTTTTTTTGTTTATTATTTTGTTTTTTCTCTCTAAACAAGTTTAGTTTAATTGCGATATATTAACATTTATCGTCACTGAAATCAGTCAAGAAATCTATAGCAGATTTACACCACCCACCAGGGAAGGTGGCAGCAAGTTTTCCACAGAAGAAGGTCATTAAGCCTTATATGTAAAGGGACTTCAAATAATACTTGGAATAATCCAGATCCAAATCGTTTAAGATGGACGTTTTTCTGTTTCACATTTTTCTTCACATGCTATGTATATCAAATATCTTAATCAATACCACAGTTCCAAATTTTTCTTCATATGCTACATACATGAAATAATCTTAATCAGTACCACAATACCGAAGCTGGCAAGCTGGTGTGCCGCTGAGTTTGTACACAAAATAGGAACCGCAATTCCTAACAGAGATAGTAGTGGACCAATTACAGCAGTTCCTGCTCCAATGAAAACAGACCTTCCTTAGGACTTCGCCGTCTTCCACCTGCGGATTTGTACCATTTATCCAACCAGGAGAGTGAGTGCCGCACCTGTGTGTAGCGGGACACGAAGTAGGCATTCTTGTCCCGGCGGCATCTTCAAAACGCTTCCACCCTGGAGCAATTTGGCTGTCACAGTTGAATGTTTTGTCAAAGACATAATTCACATTCCTGCTGGCATTGAGCAGCCTTGAATAGAGTTGACATTCTAAGAGGAAAAATGCTCCTTCAGCGTTTTCTCTGCGTATAAAAAGACGCTTGTTTTGACCGATAATTTATTAATAAAATCACAGCCGTGCTATCTTCTGTTCTTTCCGCAAAGTTGGACACAAAATCACGATTTGCCAATTTGGTACAACTGTGGCTTAAAGCATCTTTGTATAAAGCGTGATCTACCAAATAAAACACAACCCGCCTAAACTTCCATCATTTTACAATGTCTGTGCAAAATTTTACTGATTAGCCTGCGAACGGCAGACGTTTCTCCTCCCTCATCGCCGCTGAGGGATGTTTAGCGAGGACGTTCCTCTTCGCGAAACGTTCCTCAGCAGCGATGAGCGAAGAGAAACGTCTGCCGTTCGCAGGCTATTTACTGATCTGAATAGCCTCAAAAACAGCCGAGATATAAACGTTTTAAAAGATACAGGGCAAGCAAAATTTGCCTTTTGAAATTATTCATAGATAGGTGTCCCCTGAAGTTGACGGCTACGTAACTCTTTGCTCCTTTCTGCTAGAATTTTGGAGTAATTCTCATAGGGGGGCTTATCTTAGACAGGATTGGAGAGGGGCATTTGATACCATTTTAACAGCGAGTTCGATTTCGTCTATTAAAAAATTAGATAACAAGATGATTAGACTTGCCTTCAGTGTATAGCCCGCAGGTTGTTTTTCCATCTCCAAGGTACTCATTGTTGCAGGAACAGCTGTATGAGCCAACACTATTCAGACAGTATGCCAGGTTTGGAAGGCAGTCGTGTGCTCCTTGGGTGCACTCGTTGATGTCTTTGAATTGAAAATTTATGGAAAAAACATAATAGAATCGTTTCAGCTCGTACAAATTTGCTCTAACTCCTTGAAAATCTACAACAATAATTAACAAGTGATGGATCAGGTTTAATCCCACTGATAAATTAATATTGACCCCCAAAAATATTTCCCTTCTTTTTATCGCTTCTCTCGCTGATTTTAATAGGAGACTTACAGACGATTTGGGACGATTTGGGACTGATTTACTATCCTTGTAAAGCTGTTATATCGTTTTTGAAATATCCATTGTGCTATTGCACGTAAAAAAAAAATAAGGCATGGAGATATATCCTAACAACTCTAGAACTTCCTTAGCATGAAGAAGTATTTTTCTGCTAACTTTCGCAAGTTTCCCATCGCCGGAGAAACCAGATTTGCAAGCGCAGAGATAAGATCCGCGCGTATTGGTGCAGTCAGCATTGAAATCGCAGACGGGTGAAGAAAAATGGCATTCGTCAATATCTTTAAACGGAAACAACAACATTGATCATTTGTATACAGCGGAAACCCTTTGATACGTACGGTCACCAATGAGTAAAAAAAATTGGCCGTAATCTAGCGAGGGTGTATGACGCCCATGGTCTTGACACCTTGCCCCTATTTGAGGATGAGACAAACGAAAACTTATAGCCGATTTAAGGCTCAAACCCGAAAAATGACACCCTATTCACGAAAACAACAACAACAACAAAAAAACAGTAATACTTTGACTACAACACAAACCTTCATTAAATCACTTTCTTACTTCTTAACGGGATATTTCAGATTTAACAGATGGATTTCTTCCTCATCTATCTGGGCGTTAACGCATTTGAATTTTTGCTGACAGAATAACGGTACACTATCTGAAGTTATCAATATATGAAAATCATACATGTGAACTGCGGAGTGAAGAATTATATGAATGAAGATCATCGCAGTTATATACGCAACTTTTGCAGTTGCGAAAAGAAAGCTGAAAAGAATTCAGGCTTGTAAGGGATTCGAACCTTTGACCTCTGCGATACCAGTGCTCCGATGATCTTCATTCATATAATTCTTCACTCCGCAGTTGAAATATATGATTTTCATATATTTATAATTTCATCATCATCCTTTCACGGGTTTATAACGAACCAATTCAACGACCTGCTTCCAGTTGGCTTGTTAGCTTAATTGGTAGAGGGCTACACCGGTATCGCAGTGGTCAAGGGTTCGTATCCCGTACAAGCCTGGATTTTTTCTCAGGCTTTCTTTTCGCCAGTGCAAAAGTTGCGCATATAACTGGGATGATCTTCATACATATAATTGGTACACTATCTGTTAGGATCACAACCGGAACACAACGCCAACAACAGCAAAAACGATAGCCTACGATCTTTTGAGGATGGAGACCCTCAAAAACCTTGCTATTGGGCGGCACATACCTATCTAGCCCACATATGGGAGTACCCCNGTACTTTTCTTCTGATTTATTTTCTACTCACCGCTGCAGGTTATTCCGTCACCGGAAAACCCTGATTTGCAAGTACATTGGTAACTGTCTTGAGTTTTAGTGCAGTCGGCAGAGTCATCGCAAATGATTGACAAAGTGCGGCACTCGTCGACCTCTAAGAAAAACAAAGACCGCAAATAATTATCTTTTCGATTCGCTTCATCTTGATCGATTAAGATAGTTCATCCATTAGTCCAACATTAACTGGTTAACGGAAAAAAACAAAGAGTGGTGTAGCACATTTATAACTATAAAAGCTTCCAATGAGTTGCCATAGCAACGTATTGATGCCCTTACCAATTTTACTTGCAACCTTATTTCTCGGCGTTAGAAGTTTTGTTTGAAAAATAGTTCGTTCGTATTTGGAGGTTATCACGTGTTCCTGCAATATAGCTGCCTCATTTTTTTGGTAAGTTGGAGGAATTTAACCTTTGAGAACTTTTTCGATTTTGGGATGAATTTTTCACAAGTGAGAATGAGCTTTTCACTTTTGGTTTTTATGATTAGAAATACGGCGAAAACTGAACAAACTTGATGATTGACCGTTATCGATCTGTGGAATGCGAGGCCCTTTGGAAAATATTGCAATTTCACCTCATGGTAGTTTCATTCTATTTGAAAATTACGCGTGGGATTATTAACAATTATTGGACGAGGTTGAACAAAATATCGTGATTTGTCAGTGGCGAGCAGATCATAATTCATCTGCGAGACAAATCACATTATTTTGCGATAGGCGAGTCCAATAATTGTTTTATCATTCGGTCACCGAGTTTGTTTTTCACACAACAGCAATTTCAAGAAGGAGAAAAGCGTGGTTTCATTTACGCATGTGCAGAATATTAGTTGCAGCCAAACACTTGGCCAAACACAGTTGGACGACATTGCGCAAGAGCAGACCATTTCTTGTAGGCAGTTATTTGCAGACCACGTGGTGGGCTGTCGGCCAATAAGAAAAATTTGCTTCGAATGATAAAAGATTATCAGGGTACCAGTAACCGATTGCTAAAAATAATTTATGCATTACATTTCATTATGCATTTTTACCAACTGAAGACTTGAACATCTGCTTAATGAACTGGTGAAGTCATTTTCAATTAATGATTAACTGAACTTGCCTTCTTTTTCCATGTCACAATAAGCTAGACGAGTGGTTCCAGATTTCAAGTCGTTATATAACCAGTATTTGTCACTGACTATTGACTGCCCTTCACTCGCCTTTATTTCTTTACATGTTTCAACTGGAAGATCCTCAATTGAACCTAAAGGGACTAAGAAACACCAAAACCCACTGCTGTTAATAAAATTTATTTCTGAAAGAAAATAAATGGTTTTATGCTTAATGTGACTGATCAATGTTATTTCTCCAGCTAGCGTTTACAATTGCTTCATTTACGGCGAGATGGGGAATTACAGTCTCATTCGCAAAGTACAGATATTTCAGTTCGAAAATTAATAAAATCAATATTTGACTTTATAATTATTATTTAAAGGCTAACATGAAGCATTAAGATCTTTTCAGAGTTACTGCACTGAGTTTGTTTATATCAGCTCACCTCGGTTAGCGTCTCTTCGAATGTAAAACCTGTCGGGGTTTTGAATAAAGTCGTTGGGTTTCGCTTCCTTGGTGCGATCATTAAACTCGCACATATGAAGAGAGATGACGAAATTAAAACTCTGGCATCGATCGTC